CCAAGATCTTTCGGAGATAAACCTATAAATCGGATAAGAATTGTGACCTGTAGAGTGTCCACTAACAAATTGTGGACCGACGGATGTCTGGACGGACAGAGGCGACGACAATATAATTCCACATGAAAATGTGAGCGTATAAAAATCCCTATGACTTCAATAGTTAATGAACATTACTTGAGATAGCTATTGCACTTATAGTTCTTTTGAGAAATTATTGCTTACATTTGTGTTGCTGTATTGTAAAAACTTGTACATGTATATATGTAATAACAACTAATGGATTTAATAATGAATGCTTCCACGACGATTATCTCGTTTTTATCAAGCAAATGATAAATAGGTAAAACCCTAAGTATGTATACTGTAATATGAAGCCATAATTAAATATATAATATAAAAAGCACTTCAACTTTAGGCCATCACATCCTGTTCTTATTTAAGCATAATAGCTTAGGGTTATGTTTTACATTCTATTAAACATACATTATGCAAGAGCTAAATCTGTCTATTGCAGGTCTTTCTTTACGCCTGGAATGTTATCTAAATTATTAATTAGACATTAATTAACCTATCCAGGCCATAATCAACTTTAGTGGATTATGAGCCGATTTACTGCATAACTTTCCTTCACAATTTAACGATTAAATGGATAATCGAGACTATGCTGTTTATCATACTGACTTTAATAATGATGATCGAGGCTAGGCGGAAATTTAAATCGCTTAGTTCTCGGTTCATAGTGGATCAATTTGAATGAAATTTTCAGCAAATTGCTTTTACATTATCTAGTTTTTAACTATTATAGTCAGAACTGCCAAGTCATTATCGAATCTCCCATAATGTATCTTTAAGTAACAGTACATAATATTTATTAACAGATAATATATTAATCACTCAGTAAAGTACTACTTTGATCAAGTGCTTATACGTATACATGTACATCTTAAAATGCATGATTGCGCCTTTAAACAAAGGGGATGGACTCAACAAATTTCCTTTCTTTCCCTCCCATTCCCACCCAGCCTCTCAATCACAACTGGCTCTTCTGACAAGATTGTTAGGAAACATTTGTCTGCGATATCACCTTCAGTGGAAGCGGATGTTAAACCCTAAGAACATACAGATTTATATGTTATCAAAATGTTGCATGTTATAAGCCAGTAATTATAATTCCATATATAAGTTTTACTTCGCTAAATTCTTGTTGTATGATTAAGTGTAATTGATTGTCAATTCTTTACCTCTATAATCAACTCCTGAGTTCAGTTTAACCACTACTGGTCTACCAATTATTTGTTTTAGAAACTCACTAGGTGTCTGTTTATTACTCATCTTGATTAGCTGTAAAAAGGAAACAAGTGGTTACTATGCAATATACGAACGAAGAACAAGCTAAAAAGCAATTTTTCGTACGATCAGGGACCATAATTCAATATGTTACGGTCCGACATGCGACAAATACAAAAGCAACCAAGATCTTTGGAATATAAACATATCTTACGTTCCATCAAAATTGGATAAAATATGCAATATATCGAAAAGTTCTGAGATCTTTGGGATATAAACAAATATCTTAAGTTTATCAAAATCTTATAAAAAAAATGTGACCTGTAGAGAGTTCACAATACTTTTACACTATTTGGGTAAGAGGAGCAGCCATTTTGTCGTGCAGTATTAGTCCGATTTTCATGAAATTCGAACTTGAATGTAATTAGGGTGTAACGGTTATATGTTAGAATGTTTTTTAAAATCAGATAAAAATTGTGACCTCTACAGGGAATACAAGCTAAAGAAACGATTTCTGGTATATATCAGGAGCCATAATCCACAAAGTTACATGTGCGGTCTGATAAGCGTGAATAAATCGAAAGGAATCGAGATCTTTGGGTTATAGACGTACATTTCAAGTTTCATCAAAATCAGATCAAAATTGTGACATTTACTTTAGTGTGTCCACAAACTAAAAACATGACTTTTTGTACAACCAGGGGCCATAATCCATGAAGTTACAGTCTGATACATGTCAATATTGAAAGGAACTGAGATCTATGGGATGTAACCCTATAATTCAAGTTTCGTCAAACTCGAATAAAATTTGTGACCTGAAGAGGTGTCCACAAACAAAATGTGGACGGACAGGGGCGACAACAATATACGTCCACATGAAACTGTGGGCATATAGAAATTAATGTGCTATTATGTTATGCAGTTCTTATCTGTTTTACAACTTTCATACTCATAACGACTAAATAAATATTTCCGTGTCTCTTCTCAAGCAGAGCTAATTATTGTAGAAAAACAGCGCAAGTTTTGTATGCATAACAATTTCGTGGACTTTTTGTCATGTTCACTTTATGATTGTAGCGAGGAAATATCAGGCATTAACCAAGATATGAATGAGATGGATTTAACATTGAAGTCAATCGGGAGAGTCAGTGATAAAGGGAAATAACTACAATGGCATACATGGTGTAAAAAGTTACATTTTTTGCAAATTACCAAAGATTAATTGCAGGCTCCTGATATGCTACTACACACTTGATGATAATAGGTTATTACGGAATGTGTTGGATTGGAAATGAAATGAAATGGGTATAACATCCTACTGTCCTGCTCCTACTGGGCTAATGAAGACGGGCATACACCATTCAATGTGCTATGAGGGAAATTTTGCCCATGCAATTGCACTATGGCCTACTGTTATATCGAATTCCAACTGCCAGGGGATCTTTTACGTGCACGCCCATGTATACATTGGACCTCGGTTTTTCTGTCCCATCCGAATGACTAGACAGCTGTCCTTGTCAGCCCCTCTGTCCTGCACCTCTGACAAGGGGAAACAACATCGGACAAACCTGATGAACTTTCTCGGTCAATGCAGGGATCGAACACGCAACCGTCAGCCTGATCATTTAGCACTAACCCGTGCTAATCATTCGGCCATCCACTCCCACCCACCCCGTATAAAGGAAGACAACCTGAACAGACACATTTTTCCAATAGAGTGCAAAGTACACTTTGCACAATTTGACCCTCTGTTATTAAAACAATTTATGTACCAGTTACCAGTAATACAGGTTATTATTGTCCTTCTATTTATCATTTAGTACCAACAGCCACACATATCCAATTGAGTGTGAAGTACATTTTACACAATTTGCCTATCTGTTATTAAAATACCAGTAATTACCAGTAATATAGGTTAATGTCCTTCTATTTATCACCAACTGGGCTAATGAAGACTTCAAAAATGTTTGGACGTCAAAACTCTCTCCCTCTTTCTCTTCGCAATGCCCCCTCCCTGAACTCATTCCGCATCTATAACGGTGTGAGATTACTCCTACAACTGTGCATGCGCTAAACTGTAATCACACACCAAGGACATCCCACACCTTCAAAGAACAGGATAGGCCCCCTAAACTGGGTAAAACTGGCAATGTGCATGTCAATTTACCAAATCTCGTCTAAGCAAGGTTACATCATAGAAAGTTTTGTTACATATTTTTAACGTCAGTGTACTGTCAATGAAAATAATTCTCACACTTGTTTTTTTTTTTTTTAAACAAAATTAATCATACAATTTAGATTTAAATTAATATTGAATATTTTTTGTATCCCTTGAGAAACTTAAAGTAGCTAAGTCTCTAACTCAATATCATCCAAAGTCTTACACGTTGAAAACACAAATTATTTGTCAATTCAAATCAACATTGATGTTGTTATCTTACCGGGAAAAGGTAGGCTTCTGATATCCAATATTTAAGACAAAATAAACATTTTACCATTGGTACACGAATCGTGTACGGTTACCATAGTGCGTTTCGTCGTCATTTTAACAAGTGACCAGAAAGAGCAGGCTAGACATATTCCACAACTCATTTCATACGGCGACGCCATAACTTACCTGGAGAGCATACGCAAGACTGGAATAACCAGACGCTTGAAATTTCTATTCGGTTGAGACTCATGCCGTATTTCGCTGGACCTAACTGATTTGAAATTAGAGTCAAAATGGAAACAATTGAATGTAAATCAGTTTATATACAATCAGATTACATTTTTATATGAGTTGCGACCGATTTGGGTCAATTTTTAGGACCCAAATATTAGCGATTTAGCTCCTTTAATTGTAAAGGTGTTATCACATCACTCATCAGCCTCGCTCTACTCGGGCAATATGCCTGTACTAACATATTAGTGCATCCACCATCATACCGTGGTATTGCCTAATGGTAATGGTTCGGGGTAGGCTAACGGTAAATTGAAATTATGAACAATTTGGGAGCTGAAATTTTCATTAAATTTCCTGATTTTACCAGTGGAAAAAAACGGTGGTTATACTGGTTAACCCTGATATAGAGCGAAGCTCTACAGTATCGCGCGAAGCGCGGTGCTTGAGCAAAGCTCTTTTCCGGTAACACAGGAGCGTAGCTGAAATTGTCACCCACAGACTGTTGATTAAAAAAAATTCAGACCGGAACCGGATACACTGGGCAAAACAGGCAATGCGCATGTCAACTTACCAAATCTCGCCTAAGCGAGATTACGCGCCTCATATAACTATTTCTATGACGCGTCTAATCAATGACGTCACATATTTTTGACGTCAATGAAAATAATTCTCACACTTTTTTGTTCTTTTTTAAAAAACAAAATTAATGTATACAATTTAGATCTAGATCTAAATGAAAATCAATTTGGAAAAACTAAATTATTTAACATTTTTTGTATCACTTGAGAAAATTAATTATAAGGTTTTATATTTGACAATAATCAGCTTCGCTCTACTCAGGCAATGCCTGTTACATATTATTAAATGTAAGCATACTTAATTAAGAACTGTGAAAGCTTCTTGATACCGCCATTAATCAAGAATTCTCGTAAATTATCGCCGGAACAATTAGATTTGTGATTATCCAGTCAACCGCTAAGTGCAGTATAGTAATATCCAAGGACTGGAAAATCATATCTAAACTCTCGCGACATGCAAAACGAGATCCAAGATGTCAGCTTCCATGTCGTTAAATGCTTGCAGAGTATATTCTAATTTATTTACAATATCTAAACCACACCATGGTTATTTTCGTCAGTTAAATATTGTTCCTAAAGAGACCAAGAGTTATTGGACACCCAAGAGTTATTTTGGAAAAATGCCGTTTCTTTATTACGCAATGCCAGAGTCAACAAAATCGATTAAAGTGTCCTTGAACCTGTCTCCAGTTTCAACCCACACTCTTAGCAGACGACATAAACAACGCCAGCAGCAGGCTGGTTGGTTGTGCCTCAGAACCTGGCCTACTACCGTCGATTTAATCTCAACAGAACAGACATGTAGATTCCATAGCTCACCATTAGTGTTTCAAAACAATAAGGCATGTTGGAAATGCGGAAAGAAAATAGATGCTAAGAGTGAATTATTTTTCTGTGAGTGTGGTATTGTGCAAAAAGTGACACCAAATATATCTTACTTCACATTATTTGATTTATCAGAAAATTATAAAATTGATATTTGGAAACTGTACGAGGCATACATTAACTTACAGAAACGACTGCACCCCGATAAATTCACGCAAGCATCTGAAGTAAGGATCATGCATTTGCTTAGTATTTTTGTTTTTAGTGTAATCATCTTTAAATGTCTTTATATTTAAAGGACCTAAGTCCGAAACTCAAAATCCTCCAAAATCTTCGACATCGAAAACACGAATTATTGGTCAATTTAAATCAACATTGATGATGTAAACTTACCGGGAAACGATGAGCTTCTGATATCCGATATTTAAGATAAAATAATTTTTTTAACATTGGTATACACGAATCGTGTACCATAATGCGCTTCAGCCCCAGTTGTGAGAGACTCGAGGGACGAGGCTAGACACATTGCACCAAATCAAATGGAGTTATGTAGACTAGAATAACTAGACACTAGAAATTTGCACTCGATTGAGGTTGCTGACTTATTTCGCCGAACATAACTGATTTGAAATTGGAGTAAAAACGGAAACCATTAAATGTAAATCAGTTTATATACATTCATATTACAGTATTATATGCGTTGCGACCCACGTTTGTGAATTTCTAGGTCCCAAATGTTAGCGATTTAGCTCCTTTAAGTAAGACCCCCCAAAACAATTTGTAATTTAAATTAGATTTTATTTATATTTTTTTTTTCTTTTGTTCTGGAATAAGCTAAACTACATTGTAGTCCAACAGCTTGTATTTTTATTTACAGTGAGTACAGAGGGACATTGTAAACAGACAAACTGTCTTGTGCTATAATTAAGATGTAATTAAATGGTTTCTTTTTATGTATTTTAGGAGGAAAAGTTATATGCTGAAAAACAGTCATCCTTAATTAATAAGGCATACACAACTTTATCAAAGCCACTTAGCAGAGCAATCTACATGCTTAAAATTCACAATAAACCTATTGAAGAGGATAGTGCCTTATCAGATCCAGAATTTTTAGCTGAAGTTATGGAAATTAATGAAGAACTAGCAGAGTTATCTTCACCAGAAAATTTAAAGGATCTTGAAGAACAAAACTTGGATAAAATAGATTTGTGTATAAATCAAGTTGCAGAAGCATTTGACAATAATGACATAGTAGCTGCTCATAAATTAGTTGTTAAATATCAGTATTATGCTAATATAACTGAAAAAATAAAAGAAATTCATAGAAAATTGATGGTTTAAACTTAGAAGTACAGTATTTTAGAACATTTTTATGCATTGAATTTAATTATAAACTTACATTTATTATGTATATATATATTTATTAATTTTTTCAACATATATCAGGATAAGGATAAAACCAATCGAATACCAATGCAATATACCAGTTATTTATATAGCCATTGCGTGTCTCCTAAACCTTGTAATAATGTTAGAGAGTGAAACCAGTGGAACTATAAACTACATGTATCAGTTATTTTTGATTGTCCAGTGTATCCTCATAAGAACAAACCCTATGGAATATTAATGCATTTCTGCAAATATGTGTGGAGTTATTCTGCTAGTGAGTGTATGCTATAATGTGTTATTGTCCAACACTGATATAAAATTTGTATGATGATTTGTTATGTATACATATTTGTAGAATTAGTCAGTTTTATACCTCACATTGCCTTATTTTTTATATTGTCTAATTACAAAATATGGTGATCAGTTTTATACTTCCATCAAAATACTGATTGTATGCTCTTAATAGGTAAGATTAGATAAAGAGCTGACAGTTCTCATTATAATAGTTAACCAGCGGTTCTCATACAAGATACGCCCACATTTTGCAAGCGATGGATGGAGAACAAGCTAGAAAAAAAAATGTGATTTTTCGTACAATCAGGGGCCATAATCTATTAAGTTATTGTTTGGGATGTGTGAATATAGAAAGGAACCAAGATCTTTGGGATATAAACATGTGTTTTAAGTTTCATCAAAATTGGATAAAAATTGTGACCTCCATAGGGTAAACAACCTTGGTATTACGCATACTTTTACACTATTTGCGTTCAAGGAGCGGGCAGTTTTGGTCCGATTTTTACAAAATTCGAACTCAACCATCATTTAAACGATTTTGTGAACTCTAGAGGGTCCATAAGCTAAAATCGTGAGTTTTTTTCATACAGTCGGGTCATAATCGAAGAAGAAATAGTCCAATATCCACGAATAATAAAAGGGACCAAGATCTTTGTAATATAAACGCATGTTTTAAGTTTCATCAAAATCGGATCAAAATTGTGACCTCTAGAGGGTCCACAACCTTGATATTACATACTTTAACACTATTTGCGTACCGGAAGCGGCCATTTTGTCCATCAGTTTCGATCCGATTTTCACGAAATTCGAAGTCAACCATCTTTATGGTGTAACGGTAATATATTCAAACGTTTTATTAAAGCGGATAAATAATAAAAACTGTGACCTGTAGAAAGACCACAAGCTAAAAACACGTAAAATGTGGGCATATAAAAAATAGATAATGAAAAGAGAATATGCTGAAAATTTTAGTCAAATTACTTCACCCTGAGCCTAGATATTGGCGATACAATTATAGCCTAGCCTTGATACGATAATAAACAAAGTCTCGATTATCCATTTTTACTGTAACCTAAACCTAAAAACTAAACTACATGTAGTTAATATAGAGATAGGCTACCTAAAACTAAAGAAAAACCTGCAATAGGCAGATTTCGCTCTTGCATAATACATGTTTAATATGGGGATACCTAAAACTAAAAATGGACCAATACTTTTTGAAATATGTTTACAATTTAAACATACATTATGCAAGAGCTAAATCTGTCTATTGCAGGTCTTTCTTTGGGCCTGAAATGTTATATAAATTGTTAATTAGACATTAATTAACTTATCCAGACCATAATCAACTCTAGATGGCATCGCTAGCCTGCGATCTTAAGTGGATTGTGAGCCGATTTACTGCATAACTTTCCTTCTTGATTTAACGATTAAATGGATAATCGAGACTATGCTGCTTATCATACTGACTTTAGTAATGATGAACGAGGCTAGACGGAAATTTCATTTCGCTTAGTTCTGGGTTCATAGCGGATCAATTTCAATGAAATTTTCAGCAAATTGCCTTTACGTTATTTAGTTTTTAACTATTATACTGCCAACTCATTATCATATCTCCCATAATGTATCTTTAATGTTTATAATTTTATTATAGCACTACTGAAAGGTCGGGGTGGGGGGGTCGCCGAATGGTTAGCGCATGCATGTTGTATCATAAGGTCTGTCATTGAGTCAACTGGCGTGGTTTCGATTCCCCGGCTGTACGTGACAAGGAGTAGGGTGGCCTGACCAACCACATGGGTTTTCTCCGGGTCCTCCAGTCTCCTCCCTCTGCTAAAAGACCCCTACCCGCAAGCGAATTATTGAAATAAAATTGAGTGGAGTGGACGTTAAACCCCATTTCTCTCTCTCTCACTACTGAAAGGTCACGTTTAATTCTTTCTGGAAATATCTGTGCTAAATAATGTTTCTTCAAACATCTAAATGTATCACCGTAAATCATTTACATAGCATATAGGAACAAATACAGATACTGGGATGCATATATTGTGGTATTAACCAGACAATAGATTCTCGGAAGAAAATTTATTTAATAATATAAATATTTTGTGAATATGATAGTATTTAATATTTTATTAACAGCTTTTAGGAATTCCATTCTAGTTTATAACGGAAGGGAGCTAACCTCATTCAATTCTCTTCTGAGAAGGGAGCAGACCACAAATTACTACCCTTATTTGGTACCGGTAGTTCCATCTATATCTTCTTTTCTGTCTCCCTCTCTCCATTTCTGCATGGCCATGGCGTTGCGTTTCAATTGTAGATAATCTGAATCTAACCAAGAGTGATATCAAAGAAAAAGTAAGTCCCTTGTTTTAAAGTCTGGGAAAGCTATTCCATGAAGAATGTATCAATTTGTCGTCTCCCGGCCGGTGCATGTTATTCTTTAAGATACGTGTACCTTCCACGAACATATTTGTAGTGGAGTTATTTTCAATAAAAGGTTGGTATGTATGGAAAATAGAGATACTCAATTTTATAAGAAAAATACTGGATTCCAGGAACGCTATATAGGTGTTGATCAAATAGCTAACGGTTATACGCCCAGTAGACTCTGCGATTAAGGGTCGGAAAATGAAGAATAGTCCAAAAATTTACCCAGGCTTTGATATTTATAATAAATGGACAGTCAAGTCACGTGAGAAACAAGGCGGCTTAAAATTCTTGCGACATGGGGTAGATTTCTTGAGATCAGTATGTTTAGAGACGATTTGAAGAAAACCTTTGATATATGAATTAGTTTGAATATGTGTTCATAAAATCACAACTTTTACGCGTGAAGGCATCTTTAAAAGTAGCGCCCTGTCATCTGACAACGTTTAACTTTAATTAATATGATTTTCCCTAGATATTCTCAAACCCATATCACTGTAAAATGTACATGTGGAGAATTTTGGTTATATGTCTGGTTCAGTGGCGTATAACTAAAGTTTGGTTATTTACCACCCTCATCCTTGATTCTCTTTGCCATGTTCCTATAATATATATAAAATTAAAGAATCATATTATCTTACACGTTCGCCAAGACGATACTCTGGCACTGAAAAACATTCATATGATAATATATATATGGTGAATCTTTTGGAAGAGTATTTGCGGTTACATTCCAACAGTGATTGTCTGCTATTTGCATTGATGTCTGATTCTCACATCACAGGATCCCAAAGATGCCACGGATTTCTCTAAACATGTCCACGAATAAGCAAATAGACCATATATTCGTCTCTCGTATGGAGGACTTGCCGGCTTGGGAGAAGTTATATGAAAACCTGCGATGAGGAAGGATTCCCTATCAACGGGTCGCTTATTTCACAGTTTTCAGGATAAAGATTTTCGCCTTCATGCATATTCACCCCGAAATTTTTTCCATATACGCATTAGGTTTATATACTCTTCAAAAAAAGTAGGGGATATTCAGAAACAATCTAAAACTGTGGAAATGCTCTGCTGTTTTTATTAGAGGTAACCAGTGTATATTAATAACAGGAGAATTGCCTACACATGAACATAAACAGTTCATATGGGCGGCTTGTTTGAAGGCCCCATTTCACTCGCAAAAAGATACACTGCCAAAAGTGGAAATGGTCGTTTTTGATTTTTGTCTTAATAATGAGTAATTGCTCCACCAATCCTCAGACATTCAGCAATTCGTCGTGGCATGCTCCTAATCAACCGTCCACTTAGGATTTGGCGCAAGCTGACCCACTCCTCTTGCAGTGCCACGGCCAATTCTTGCAGTGTTGTCGGTTGACGTTGACATCGACGAACATGTCTCCCGATAAAATTAAACGTAACACACTAAAGCAAAGATACGCTAAACAGTAAATCGTATGCAAGAACCGATAGGAAAGCAAACATGGATAGGATAAACCAGCAAGCGGCAGTTTTCATCAACCCTTCCTTGAAGTGGCAAATTTGACAATGAACCCCTCCAACGTGTATGCCGCTATTGCGTGTCGCATGTGCAGTTCAGTGGTTCTGTTGGGGCGATAAGTTCTTCATCTGTGAACATGCTCTCAAAGCATGTCAAGTGTCCATTACTATTTATCATATCACAACCTGCGTAGGTATTTGCATTCCAATATCCCCTACTTTTTTTGAAGAGTATTCACAGAATGTTAGCTGCTACATTTGTAGTGGTGCATGGAGCACGACGGAAGACAAGACATCAGTAGATGAAACATTTCTAACAGATTATATTCGCAATATCAGCCTTTTATATGGCACATTATTTTCTACTCTTTGTTTTAAAAGTCCTAATTAAAAAAAAAAATTAAGACAAATAAAATTAAAGGCACAAGCCAAATTGTTCACGTATTTAAACAGTCTAAAATATTTATTTGGCATCTGTCTCTAAAATATTAAATTTATCACGGATAACCCACTCTTAAATAGGTATACTCAGGCTGATTATTTAACTTTTAATTATAAAATCAAAATCAAAATACCAACGTTAGACAATGTCCCGGCATGGATTCAACCAGATTTAAATTTGGTGGACAACAAAATGGCGGCGGTCTATAGCGAGCAGCCTAGACTGATTAAACTTTTATTCCACATAGACCTACCTTTGTAAATACTGCAAGTAATTGAACTATAATTAGACTGATATTCCTGTTAGAGATTCACCTTTCACAATATTCTAGTTTGCAGATTATTCATATTGCTTAGAACGGTGCCTCGGGGGCATTAAAATAAGGAGTTGTTATTTTCTAAATACGAACTTCTGATTTTTGAGAGAAAAAAACCCCCAAAACCTATTCATTTATTATCTAATTAATAGACATCGATGTAAACTTTAAAAAGTCATAACTTAGGTTATAAATTGTTCAGTTTGAAATTAGTTTGAATACATTTAATTATTATACACATGTAAGCTATTTATTGAATGTCCACTTAAATGTATTCGAATAGCAATCACCATATTCGAATATTTTCGAATATTTACATTATTTATTCTATTTGCTCTCAGATATCATTAAAGGCGACCTTCCTTGCCACATTTACATTCAAAGCTCATTTAGATTCCTAACTGCGGCTTGTATATATGGGGGTGGGGGTGGGGGTGGCCGAATGGTTAGCGTGTGTGCGATGTATCATAAGATCTGTCATCGAGTCAACTGGTTTCGATTCCCCGGTTGTACGTGACAAGGACTAGGGTCACCTTTCCAAGCTCGTGGGTTTTCTCCGGCTCCTCCGGTTTCCTCCCACTGCTAATGACCCCTACGCGAAAGCGCATTATTGAAATAAAATTGAACCGTATTATGTTAGTCCCGAAATGAACTAGTTTGTGTCGAGTGGACGTTAACCCCCTCTCCCTCCCTCCCTCTCCCTCAGCTTGTAAGGGTGCCACCCCTACATAGATATACCGTCTTCAGAGACAGTTATTCGGTAAAGTAGCCAGGGAGCTCGATGCTGTATTCTGGGTGAAAGCTAAATCAGTGAGTGACATCCTTGAGAGACTTCACATTATAATGTGTAGCGAATCTCACGTACGACGTCATCTATATATGCCATTGTGATGAATTTACTTCGATTCGTCATGAAGAAACAGCTGGGTGAACCCACATTCATCACCAACATGAAGAGACTGTTTTCTGCTTATATGGAAAAGTGACTAGACGACAATGATTTCCGTGAAATGATGGAAATTGCTGCAGTGCTAAACGCACGAATGAAAGAGGTGCCTTTCGTTTCGGATGCAGCGCGGAAGAATTCCTATACATTGCTGATGAAAAAACTTGTTTTGATGTCGTGGATGTCTAGTGCATTGTTCACAAGTCAACAGAGGTTTCACGTATTTAGTAATTGATTAGGAATTATAATAAATTGAATATAAACCACTGTAAATATATTGAAAATATCCGAATAGTATACAAATTTCAAGACCCGTCGAATATTCGAATAGTATCCGTGTTCGAATATCGATCTTTGGTGTACTACACTAAAAAGTATAAGCAAACAATTTTAGAGGGACATAGGACGTAAACTCAATTTTGTTTACGTTCCACTATTGTAAATGTCAATTGGTATCAACATGACGACCAAATATCCTAATGAAATAGAAAAATAGTGGTTTCTCAAAAAATTGAATTATAAACGAAAAATTGACAAAAAGTATAGATGCGTACCATTTCGCATTTTTCTCCAGCACTGTTCGGTTGGCTAATAATGCAACATAACATAAAATTCCACACTGATCCGCAGTGAATATTCGCTTGGCCTCTACAATCACTGATAAGGATGACATTGATGCGACTTAATGACTACAAAATATTAACTTTTTTCTTTCGACAAATTAAATTCTGAAACATTTTTTTTTAGTATTAGTTAAATAAATAAAGGTGTTTGAAGTATATCTTGATAAAAAATATTCCATATTTAGCGTAAATAGGTACAGAAAATAGTACGCGGGGGCGTAAAATGGGTAAACGATATAATTCTGCCCGTACCAGTTCATATTACTACGTTCGATGTAAACAACGCACGTGTGACCATCAATTTGACGTTTTTTTCTGTTTGTTTACTCTGAATTCTTTCAGAAGTACATTTTTTACCGTCTAATCTGATTGACCTGCTCGTGTTTGTTTTAAAACAACAAAAACAAGCCACAGAAGTAATCTTTTTTGGCGTTATCGATGCCATCTTGCTTTGTTGGTAAACATTGTGATGTGACGTCACCCTTAGAACTACAGCGGTCTGACCTTTTAAAGGTCAGTCATCTTGGACAGAGATAAAAGACGGATGTCGCATTTGGTCTGTAAAACAGATTGATAAAATTCGTGCACGTCTAGTCTCCCACAGGTGCGAGTTTTCTAGGGGCCATGTACAGTAGCGGATCTAGAAGCTGGGAATAGGGGGTGGGGTGGGGCGGTTCCAAATCTAGGGCGCGAATACCACCCCGCAATGAATGTCAACAAAATTGTGGCTATAACATGTCCCGGTAGAACATAGATACATGTAGTATTGTATACCGGTAATTATATAGTTGTTCGCCGATCGTTGTCTCGCCG